ATTGTCATGGGTACCTCATAAACTGTTAGCATTCACAAGAGTCTAGGCAGCAGCCCATGTTGGAAAAGCTATGCCTTAAATAGTGAATAACCATTTACGTTTTTACTTCAAAATGTGTGCTATGCCATTTTACATCTCTATGTTGCATGCTGCATATACTTTATGTGGACCTAATTCAGGATAAAGGAGTTACTGCCAGAAGGACAAACAGATCATTTTTTATTATAACCTAAAATTTGTGGTGAGAAAGAAAGGAGTTAAAGGTTATTTTATACTTACAGAATCACCTGGCACACCTGGAGGACCCTAAATTAACAAGAGTGGAAAAAAAACAAATGTGGGAGCCATTTTATTTTTACATTTGCTGTAATATTAAGTCAACAGCTTAGTACTGTAGGCTCTGAAAAGCTAGACATTAAAAATGATTCAAAATAAGATTTAACTATTCTTATATGTATTCTTGTTATCATTATGCCCTTTATTATACAGTACATATTGTTAGTATTATTTCACCCTAAGTCCAGCAGATCCCGGAGGCCCAGTGCGGCCTGGTCGCCCTGGCAACCCAGGAACACCATCTGTTCCAGGAAGGCCCTACACAAAATAAAATCATACACCTGTTAGAGGGTGTTATATTTAGAATGTAGACACCAGAGCTACTGTGAGCATATCACGTCCATGTTAAAATACAATATCATTGACTTTACCACGAAGCCTGATTTATCATCTTAAATATGAGCAACCTAACACAAAGGTGCCTTGAATCCCTGAAAAGGAATGGAGTCATTGCTTTCAGGGAGTACAGAGTTATGCTTCCCTGAAGTTATGTTTCAGTTCCTGAAGTTCAGCTGTGGCAAATAGCAAGCTGAGCTCCAACTGCTCTGCATAACCTTGGAACAACCTCATGGGTGTCTAGATGGAGTGAGGCTTGATTGAGAGGTATGGAAGAAATGGATGCAGGCTAAATGTTAGATTGATGGAGGCCAGCATGGAGAAATGATGAAGAGATAAGCCGTTAACAAGGAGAGGAGTGAAGTGAGTAAGAGATTTCCTAGTAAGCAACTGTGGAGAAAAAAATGAAATAGCTGTCCATCTTGAGGCTGAGACTCCCATCAAAAATGACTGTCTCCCTGAAGGCAGTTAAAAGGGGCTGGCGAGTTAATGCAAAAACTCGATTTAATGCTACTGTGAGAAAAATGAAAGAAAAGGAGGAACGACTTCCCTTCAAGCAGAGAAAATAAAAGGCAGCCGGAAAAATATGTGCTCCTTCAGAGCTTTGGAAAAACAAGGCTTGAGCACACTTCACGGCCGTGCAGCTGAAACTGTAGCTCACACAATGTTGGAGCAAGGAGCTGAGCACAGAGAAAACCTTAAATAGTCCGCTCCTGGAGCAGATAATTGAATTATCGACCACTGTTTAATGGTTATAAAACAGAGCACATACTTTGTAAAGGCCGAAAGCTCAATTTGGGGTTATTTTTAGCAGGATCACAATAAAGAACACAGGGGTTTATATGCGTATTAGGACCACTACCCTTTTTAGATATCAATCATCTACATTCCAGTATCAGTATCAAACTAGTCACGTTCACAGACTATACCAATATAGGAGCATTATGCAAATGCAAATGCAGAAGCTGCTAAGAGAATTTCAAAGATAATGGAAAAAAATCTAGAGTGATCAAAGATGACATTTCATTCAAACAATTGCAGAGTGTCACATACAAGTATCAAATAAAAACAATAGACACAAAATGAGAAGCAGTGAGGGTGAAGAATCTGCATATGAAAAAGTCTTTGATGTTCATACTGTACAGTATGTTGACACGTTTGCTATTTCTATTTATTGTTGTTAAGCAAATAGGCAAACAAATGCTTATAAAGGTATGGGTTTAAATTCAATTTTTAAGGTAGTCCAATGCTTTAATAACATCTAATTTAGAACACTGAGTACAATTTTCATCACCACATTACAAAAAGAATGTTGCTACTCTGGAATCAACAAGAGCAAGTAGATACTGTACATTCCCAGGACAAAAGCAATGTCCTGTTCTGACAGGACACTTTTTAGTCTTTGGAAAGAGAATACTGTAAACGGACCCAGTTTAAGTATTCAAAGTTCTCAAAGGCATTGACACTGAAGTCAGCCCAATGGAACCAGTGGTATCTCGCTCTCACGCTCAATCTTCCATTATCTCAAGAATGCATGGAAGAGGAGCATTTTTAGCCATTGTGTCCAGTTTTACTGGGTGTGTCTCTGAGCGAGTACTTAAGGCCAATGGCAACACTCCGTCATTGCAAAGAGGTGCAGAAGAGCCTGAAATCTGTAATCTGCATATCCAGTAATTTATGTAGATTCCCAAAGTGAGGCCTTCTATGGTCCTACTAATGGCCTACCCAATGTTGTGTGTGAAATAGAGAAAATAAGTCAAAACCACCCCGATCTCTGGTCAAACCATGGTCCCAT